GGGTGATTTAGAGCCTTCAAATTAAAACCAGATTTTTCATTTCATTTTAATAGCAGCTTCAAATACAGATAGAGGTGCCTGAAGTTGACCTGCGTGACTATTCTTCTACCTCCCCTCTGACCAAAACTGGTATGAAAAGTAGGCCACAGAGCGTAGAGGCCACAGTTTCAAAAGGGGAATGCCTAGAGCTATGTATATACAGCTATTTTCAGGCACTTTTAACTTGGTGGCCTGATTTTGAGAAGTTCTGAGTATGTACCACTCCAGCAATGTACATGCTCCACAACTTACAAAAAATAAAACCTAACTACCTACTTTGGCCTTGAACTGGAAATAGCCAGTTTTTGAATCAAGAACAGATCTACAATTTCCGTTAAAAGGATACCTACACAGACTGCTTGGCATCAGAGACTCACTATATCAGAATATGTGTGTCTGGAAAAGGTTTCTGCCCTGTGGCATCTAAAGGAAAAGACAGGTCAAGTGTCACTAGAAGAGAGAGGGATGACATTCTGTGCCCAAGGTCATGCAGCAAGTCAGAACCTGCACCGAGCAGAAAACTCTGAGCCCCAGATCAAGTGCCTTACCCATTACATCATGCTGAGCCTTGCTCCTAGTCACAAAAGATACTTGCAGCTGTTCAAGGAGTTATTTCTAAGTCAGACAGACAGAATATAGTAAGAAATGTAGGGAAAAGGATGCCATAATCTGTTCTGCAACATACCCCCAAATCAGAAAGGGGTGCACACAGCAGCAACTGCATCTCATATAATAGTAAGCAATCAAACATAAATTATTACATGCTGGGATTAAAATATCACAGTTAAAGAGCTTTATACTGTTCAGTGTCCCAAGAGAATAGATCCCATACTTCAAAAAAAGATGTTAGAAGAGAGAGAAATTCAGGAGTCACAGTTTGGCCCATCAGGAATTCCCTCATCTAGCGGAATCCTACAAAGACTAGTTTTTGTACAAATTTTAGATTTGAAGTTAAATTTAAGAATCTAAGATCAGAAGATTTTAAAATCATGATAAAAGCCAGGTGGAAGTGGTTAAAGAAATGAACTCCAGGGTCTGCAATATCTGAAGGTCAAATATTACTGAAGAAACCAGCAAGTCACTTGAGACAGCAAAGGAAGCTGAGTAGTCAATGGGAATACTGACTAGGTAGAGCACTGAGCAAGTAGCATGTTTACACTGTTTTTCATTTGAAATCCTTCACTTTAGATTCTTACTTGTAAGATATGTGGGGAATTTTAAAAGCTTTTAATCTTTAAAACTAAGCATGTAATGTAAAAAGGTTAGCTAGTGCCTAGTCACAGTGATTATCTGTTATCACCTTAGGCATAACCTAAAAAGTCAGATCTTGAATTTCAAGGCTGTAGGATCCTGCTTTTCAACACAAGATCAGAGAATTTAGTTGTTTTTCACGAGGTTAAAGCTTAAAACAGACACAGCTCCAGCCATACAATACCCTGCTAAAACAAAATTTCCATTAAATAATGCTCCCAATCTTTCGCCAAACATTACAGGACCTGATCTAGAGCACTATATCAGAAGCATTTCTTTACAGATAAGTAAACAAAGCAATATGGCTGCTAAGAAAACTCAACAGCTATGCAAAAAATCTACTCAGTGACGTATTTCAACATAGATCTACCAGCTGCGTAGGACTGGGGATGCACTGGGAATGCAACCTTTATTTTTTCAAACCTTAGTAGAAAGACTCAGGAGTGAAGGTTTCAGAAGCACTACGTCTTTTAGAGCTTGCACTCAACATAACAGAGAACAGGAAAAAGAGGAAGTCACAGCCCTGTCAAGACTATTGCTTAAAAAAAAGAATTCATTAAAATCAACGCTAAAATATCTCTTACAGACTTCTTTTCCCCCCCTACTTCCTTCCAAGGGAGATATCACTATGTATACTGAAGAAAATAATCTCTGCAAAGTCACTTAGCAACTGCTACAGCTGCACACTAGCACACTACGTTCAAAGTGAATCCTGGAGCAGGTCACCCAGAGAGGTCCTCTGGTCTCCAGCTGCGGAGACACACAAAACCCAACTGGATAGCCTTGGGGAACCTGCTCTACAACATACTTCTTTGAGCAGCGAGTTGGACTATATGACCTCAAGAGGTCTCTTCCAACATCAAGGATTCTGCAAATCTGTGAACTTTTTATTTCCACAACGATTGAGCGATTACAGTGTCAGTCTAGGACATGGAAAGTTCTCTTGCTTTCCTTCAGACTACGCGTACAGTTCTTGCCTAGTACTCAGTTCTCCTCCACCTCCCTTCCTTTAGTGGCTGCGGAAACTGTGGCAGCAGAGACAAGGACTGTGCCACAAAGTGCTTTTCCAACCCATTCTCAGGAAGCTGGATCAAAGTACTTATCACTCATACACCTGACTCCATAGAGAGGGAGCTACAGGACTTTCAGAAAGCCTAACAATGTCCAGATGCCCAGTTTTAAACACATTAAATACAGATTTCTCTTTTTCAGGAAGCACGGAAAATTCACTGTCAAAAGGGCAGGCAAGGCATTAACTTGGACATCTGAAGGATAATTACATTTAAAATCAAGTTGTTTATAGAACATGGGTCCCTATTGCTGCAAAACACTGTCACCTTAGCAACACCTGCCATTTTCAAAGGTGCAGGCAACACAGAGGGAAGAAGCAGCATGCAAACTGGAGTCGGCAGAGCACGTGGTCATCCACCCTTTAACTTAACTGATGCAAGTTTTAGTTATACAGTTCTTCTAAGGTCTACAAGTATAAAATGAAGCATAAACTGGAGATCATAAATAAGACTGTACTTCACTTATAGTTACTTTAAAACATCAAATAGATGTGATGATCACCCTGAATCCAAAACTGGCCTATAAGCAAACACTGAATTTTCTTTTGAAAGACTTTCAACAGCAGAAGATTTCTCCTTACAGACATTCACACCTCTCCAGAGTTTCTGGCATTCCTTTGGAAGAGATACTCCCTTACACTGAACTTAACCCATAACATCAATACTGTATCCTTCTTTGATAAACTTGGCTCTCCAGTTATAGCTAAAGATTCGCACTATTTTCTTGGCATTGACATTCATTTTGAAATTCCAACACAAAAAAGATGTGGCTCCTACGGCCTCATGCTATTCACAGATGTATTACTTCTTGTTTGAGTTTCCTAAGTGCTCATGGCCTTGGGGTATGACATGACAGCTGCAAGTAGAAAACACAATTTAGCAGGTGAAAACAAGGAGAGGGGAAAAAACCCACAACACTCTAGAGGGATTTATTCTCACTGCAGATCATTATATGCAGAAATAAGAGAGGCTGATCTACTTAGGCCAGAATGAGAAGATAGACAATTACTCAGCTCTCCTGAGATTTCCCCTGCAGAATACAAAGTTGGTTCAAGGTGTCTGTTATGATATTTCTGATCAAGAGACAGAAATGAGATGGAAAGACGGTGTAAAGGACGATGATGACAGAGGGACAGGGGAAATATGGTCACCTAATACTGCATCAGCCAGTGAGAACAGGTGAAACTTTTCCTTACCTCATTTGTCTACCTTATTAATAGCTTCTCTTTAAAGTGTCAGTTTTAACTGAATTCAAGCCTACTTTTTTCTTTTTCCTCCTTAAGCATTTATTCCTTTTTCACATCAGTTTGACCAGAGGAGGTCAAAATACGCACAAGACAGACTACTCACACAGATGGAATGCTCTCCAAAACATATTGTAATAAATAATAGTAATTGTAAACCGTAACAATACTGATAGCAATTTAGGAAAAATAAACAAACAACCCCCCCCAAACAAATCACATCCCCCTCCAAAACAAATTCCACAACCCACCCTACTGAGTATCTCCACTGCTAGAACAAAATCCTAACTACTTTCTCAGAGCACAGGTTTTCCTCAGCACCTCTCTCCTGTTCACAACTAGCAATAACCACTCTATACCAAAATCCTTTTAAACTAACTAAGCATTCTCTCTTAAAGAGATTCCAAAAGACAAGGGAGAGTGCTGTGAATTATTAGTCTTATTTTTACATAAAGACACTGCTGATGGGGCCAGGCAGGTCAGATGCAAACAGCATGTCTGTAAATTCACAATTATAAAAATACAAATTGATAAGCTTCTTATCTGCCAGTCAGGATAGTGGTAATGCAGTCACAATGTAATTCCAGTAACACCCAACTAGAACACAGTTCAGCAATGGGATTTCCCCAAGTACAGTCATGTATATGAAACAGTTACTTCAAGAGCTATTCTAGATTTAAACTCAAAAGCCAATAAATTCTTCAAGAATAAGATAGTAACAGCAACAGAAAGGGAATGAAAGGCTAAAAACCCAACAGTTCCAATGGTTAAAATAATAATAAGGTATTAGAATAATTCAGGTTGAAAAGGCACATCTTCTAAACATGAGAATACAACTCAAATGATACCAAGTAAAGACAACAGTCTACGTCAGGTAACTAGCCAACAACAGAAATGCATTTATGTTATTCCTAGCAATAACTTGTGCAATAGGCTTCCAGTGCTTCTAAGAGATCATAGCTCTATTTGCAATTTAAATTCTTTCAGTCCTTTCCAAAACCGATTTTTCTTCTTACATAAATCTCCCCCAGGTTCAGGCTTCAGGATTCTTATGGCAAGATGCTGAGTTTCTACAGTCATCCCAATTCACCAGCATGCACAAAAGGACAATGTTTCCAGAAGATTTCTGGGAGCACTCGCTGGAGTAAATACACTCCCCATTAAATCCACATCATATTTTTAACCAGATGCAAACCTCCTTTGTGTACATGGAAAAAGAACATGAGGCTCCAGAGGGCAATCCTGTGACACAGTAATGCTTCAGTACTTGTGCTCCCATGGAGAGACAGAATACAAGGAGCCCAAACCCCACTACTTCAGACCTCACCTCCAGAAGCCAGCTACTTCCTTCTCTAGTTACAACAAAAAACTTCAGGGAGAGCAGGTACCTGCCTACCTTGCATGTATGCCTCTATTTGCCGAATTAGCTCATAAGACTTGGATCGGTCCAGAAGTGTGCGAATAGCTGGAAGAGGGTCCAGGATAATGGTTTCTGGATGAGCGTCAATATACTCCTGGGAAAAAAAAAAAAAAAAACAGAGAAAAAAAAAGTCATTAGGTTGGCTGAAGAGTGCAGAAAAATAATGAGGTGGGGACAAGAATAGGCCAAGTTAAAATCTTCAAGGTTTCTTTTTAAAGGGAGGCAAACAGACACGAGCAACACACGAAGTCATGAGGTAGTCTGGACCCTGATATTTGAAACAAACACAAGCATGACAGGTAACTTTTAGGATGTCAAATTTATCCTGTGGACTTGCTATGAGCAGAGAAGCCTGTTCTGCAGTCACATCAACTCAGAAGGGAGCCAGTAGCAAAGTGCCACAGTAACAGCTGTGAGCAATTAGAAGAAGAAAGATGACACACTGCTATATTGAGGTCAGTCTTGCATCAAATTACAATTACTACACCTGAACACCACATCTGAACTAAGCTCAGAACTACATTTGGGTGCTTTAATATTGTTATTACTGCTGTCCTTTATATGAGCTGAAGACAGTGTTATGAGCTGGACTATAAGCGCTGGAAATTTTTTTGGCAGAGCTGAAGAGATTGCTGCTTCACTGTGTATTCATTGAGCTTTGAAAGCATCTATCTTGCTGCTTCTCTAAGATCATACTCTCCTATCTTGACTACAAGAACAAAGTAAAGTTAATGCTGTCATGAATCTTCATCTTGGGAATTCAATGTGTCATGACTGCACTATTGCCTTGTGGCCATCAACACAGACACAGCTGCCAGGTATTGCCCTTGCAAACCTAACAAAACTTCCTTTTCAGAACAAAAGCTGAGTTCCTGCATCACTGCCCCAACGTGGAATCACAAAGTCAGTGGGACAAACAAGAATCCATCTTACCCTATCCAAAATCAGACAAACATTTCCAAACCTAACACCTGTTGTACCAAACTTCCCAAAGCATCTTTACATTTACACTCATTTATTTAAATCCATTCATGCAAATGCGTAGCAAATGCTCCTGCAAGCAATGGACTTCCATGAAGTCTTACTGCCCTTCAGTTGATTACTTCAGATAACAAAACATACTCCACAAGATACTTGGCCATATTGTGAGGTGGCCTCAGGAGACGCACTTTGCTAGACGCTAAGCTAGAGAGAAAGGAACAGCATTATCTATTCCCAGCAAGAGATTTTGCACCAGACACTGACTGAAGAAGCAGGGTTCCTCTCTCCACTCCTCCTAGCCTGGCAAACTGTTGCTTTCTGCTGACTGATGGCTTTCCAAAGGAGATTATTCTTTTGAGGCTAAGAGGATCCAGCATTGGGGTTTAATGAACCCACTGCATCACCCACAGCAAACAAGTAGCTTTCCTTCACAGGACATGAGGCACCTTTCAGTGGCAATACACATCTGATGTATTTAATAATCCCTGCAGAACACAAACAGTGAATTCCTCAAAGATATGCTCAACTTTGTTACTACCCATGAAAAGTAAGGGACAGAGCCTTTTGCACAACCAGTCAAGACTGTCAAACCCAGAGGCTGTCTCACCCTTGCAGTGTAGCCTGCATGAAAAGCTGCTTCAACTCACTGGAGCAGAAGCTGGTCTCATTTCACATCATTCATACCCAGAACATACATATAACTGTTTTCATGAGTCTCCTGCCCCCAGGACTTCAGAGTCTCAAGCAGAGCAGTCAGCTTTCAAATACGGAACAGCTGGGGATTTTTTAAGACATGAAGTAACTTGTTACCTAATGCATCTTAAAACACCTATGCATATGTGCCCTTATACGCAGCAGCTAAAAGACCTTGTGGAGCTAGGATGATCCAGTGATGAGGCCATTAGTTTAAACTTGGTGATCATGAAACTGTACTTGAGCATTCCAACATATGAAAAACATAACAAGACACCATGTTAGCACCTCTAAGCTTCAGCTTAAAAGATAGAGAGCTATCACTGTACGCATCTTCCTGAGCGCATTGAAAGGCTGAGCAACCGGTAAGTATACACAATTACCAGACTGAGAAAGCCACACCTCTAAAACGTGACCTCAGCAGAGGTCTGACAGCAAGCGTCCTGCAGTGTTTCTGATGCATGTACTAGCTCTTCCTTTCGCACTGTGCTGATTACCCCTTTTGTCTTGGCCAGTCTCTGGTTCCACCTTGAATTCAAGCTCCTCATACTTCCATCCTGCCCCAGCTCATACTAATACTTCCCCTCACATATACATTTGTCCTGTGGCCTTCACCCCCCTTTACTCCCCTCCACGGAGAGAATGGGTTTTGTCTCTTGCTCCTTGTGCACCTGCCCAAATCTTTCTGATGCTCACATCGGCACTGAGGACTAATCTCACCTCCCTGGGTTAGGCGCATTCCATTTGTTATTTTGGCTTATGTTACTCTAAGGATTTCCAGACAGAGCCTTGCTTTTTCACACTTTCTATAAGAAACTTCACTGTGCTTTATTTATAATGATAATAGCTCTAAGCTGCATTAAAAGATCATCCAAGCAGCAAGTTTGACACAGCATAACGAAATCTAATGGGAATGAATGCATGATCCCAAGGCCACTGTACACCAGGCAACATGGCAACAGAAGTGAGCATCATAGCTGACTTTCCAGTGACCTTTTTATCATCTTACTGTCTTGAGGAGCCTCCAAAAAACTCTGTAGATGAAGGAGGAGATGAAGGATGTTTTCCAAAAGCCATTTACAGTCTGGAGGACTTTAACAGACTACTATAATGTCGAGACAAACTCCACTGACTGTAAGGTGACAAACCTCCACACACACAGATGCTGGAACATTAGATTTCTTTATAAAACAAGGAAGTTTCTCAGCATCAAACCTTTGTACTGTTCTCCATCTCTCCTCCATATACAAGCCTAGGTACTTGGGCAGGTAGAGGGCACAGGAATGGTAAAATTCAGAGATGTCAGCTGGGCAGTGAAGATCTGCATCACCTGGGTAAAGGAAGGGACTAGGACCTGAAGTACTTGTCTCCTAGAGCTACTCTGCGGACAGGCTACAGATCTCCCATTTAAAATGAATCCAGAAATGGTCTTCCCTTTGAAGCAAAGGAGTCTGTCAATGAAGAACAAGGTCAATGTATTTGCATAGGTCATCTCTATTTGAACACAGTTAGTGGGTAACTGCTGAAGTTGTTTAGCGAACAGAAACATCAAAACAGCACTCCAATCTTTACCACTCTGCTTTTCTCAGTATACTGTATTGTTTGGATTTCCATCACAAAGCACACTAAGCCATCAGTGAATATACAACTGTGAAGATTACTTAACAGACTGGAAACATCTTGACATAGCCTGAGTAGCAGCACTCTTCCCATGGCACAGAATTGCTCCACTACCAGAAATACAGATCTGGATAAACACCACAGGTTTGTGTCCAAAAACTTTGATAGCAGATGAGCTACTGTAGAAATGATCATGAAAATCGAGCAGTTGCAGAAGGAAAAGAGAAACATTGAGGCTTTCAGTACAGCACCTTTCAACTTTGAATATTCAAATCTTCTCTGTTCATTCCAACAAAACAATTCTGCACCCTCCTTTGGTAGATTTACCTAAGACTGGTATCCAACAGCAGACTCCAGCAACCCAGGCAACAATCTGGAGGATATTTAGGCTTCCCAACAATATTTTGAAAAGCCTCTGTCCTTGGGCTGCGGTTCAGCTTGACCTAGACAACATCAATGTTTTTCCTCTTCCTAATCTTTGACATAATAAAAGCAAACAAGAAGGAACAAGGACTTTTAGCAGATCCTCCTTTGTTTGTATTCCAGGCTTGGCATTCAGTCATGCTCTGTACCAGCCCTGTTATTGGCAGAATACCAGCAATGAAACCTGAAATCAAAGAGAGATCAAGTATTCCATGTTCCCTATTAAATAACTCTGGCTATAACCCAGATAGTAAAAGACAAAACCAACAAAAACAACAACAACAAAAAAAACCCAACCAAACAAAAAAAACCCACCACCACACACAAAAAAACCCAAAACCAAACCACAAACCCCCCAAAAAACCCCCAACAAACAAACAAACCCAAAGCCAAACAAAAATAGCCACAACACACAATAAACAACTTCTCTTGACAAGCCTGCGTATAGATGAGAATAGAGTTGCTTATCATTTTACCCAAAAAGGTAGCTATTTTCTTTAAGATATATCTATTCATATTTTAACAGAAAGTTGATACAATATCTACTGCAAATATTAGGTCATTAGATAATAAGAGAGACTCACTGACTTGATTTTATTGCTAGGTAATAAAACTTCAATGATCTTTGTTTAACATTAAACAAAAGTTCCATATAAAAGGAAAAAAGTTAGCAAATGACACAGTAACAGCATTTAGATTTGTGTTTTCCTGTGTACAGAAACATGAAGATGACTGCTTGTAACAACGGATCAACACTTTCCAGTGGAGAAACAGATGTAAAGACAGACACCAGCTTGTCTAAAGAGTTTGCATCAGATTCAGACTTACAAGTTCCTTTTTCTTGTCTTAGGCTGTGATAGCCTCTTGTCACAGGCACCAAAGGTAAAGGTGTAGGCAAAATGGATCTTGAACACTTACCTCAAAACTGTCTGTCTCTGAATCTAAAAGATTCCTGCAGTGGTTGGGATGGATGAAGGAGGCAGCAAGGGGAACTGGGGAAAGGTCTTTCCTATTACATTTCTATTCACTGCACATCTCAAAGCAACTTTCTGAGTACTTAGCTTCTGTCTCGCCTTCGAAAGCCCAACACTTCTTCACGTTGCAAATACCTACCCATAAGAAGCTACCTACCAGTTAGCACTCCAATGAAAAATTTTCAGTTAATTTTGCCTGCTTATTAAGGAATTTTTCAAACGGGAAAACCACGGGTACTGTCCTTTGAATTCAGGTGCAAAAAGACCATTTCAACTGTCTCATCTTGTCTGCCCAACAAGAAAAAAAATTACTAAAATTTTGTAATTTCCTTTGATTTTTCAGTTGCCTTTTCTAAGGGGAGCACAGGAAAAGAAATGTGAAAAGCATGGGTTAGTAATTTGGGTGAGTTAGAGGGGCATTAAAAATCCACTGGCATAATCTCCAGGAGTAAGTACTCAAATCATACTCCCCCAGCTGAGAATTCTGAAGAAAGCAATCAGTGGAGCAAGAATAACACACTTCTCCCCTTCCAAGCAGGATCAAGACTCTAACTCCTTCCCTTCCAAAGTATCCCCCTAATTCTCCTTCCTCCCAGTCGCAAACTCATCTAAGGAAGCTTTTAAATCAAGAATAAAAGAGCCCTTCCTGGACATCTTCAGAGTGGGAGAGCCAACAGCCTGAGGGCAGGGGTGGGAGGAAACACTTAAAATTTTGATCAACCTGACAGCAGATGCCTAGGCATAAAACCGGCTTCTGATGTATCTTCTGAAGAAGGCTAATACAAAGAAAAATCATTCAGAAAAAGCTCTGAAAGACAAATTAATAAGCCTATTGATTTTCCAACATTAGAACCATCATTTTGAGTGGAACAGACTAGCATGAAGCTGCAACGAATGAAGCTACTCAAGCCCCTGTACAGCTATGACAAGCGACTGCTCAGAGAGTATTTTGCTCTAATCAAAGCATAACAAAGGTTCCTCAGCCAAAACATTTTCTTTTTCCAGAAAGCAGGAACTGGGGTAGTTTAGTCCTCTTTCTTACCAAGAACACTAGAACTGGAGCACAAGCAAGTGAAAGGACACCTGGAGACTATGCTTCTTTCCACCTGATTTCTCTCCATGTTCCTCTGGTCAAGAAGGAACCACCAAGGACTATAACAATTGTTACGATTCCTTTTTACCAGGCAATTAAGAACAGTCATTAAACATCAAGTCAAAAACAGGATGCTAAGAGGCTTCACAGTCTATCAGCCCTCTCCAGCAGACTGTACAATGGTTCACCACAGACTCCAGAGAGCAGGCACACAGAATCATATAAATGTGTTTCTTCCTCAGCTCCTGCAGATGAGATGGGTCAAGGCCTCTACAATACAGCACTGGAAAAAAGTTATTCTTACAAAGGTAATAAATTAAGCTCAGCAGACCATTACTCCTCCTGTGGTCAAGAATCCCTTGCTTTCTACATCCTGGAAGACTGCTTTATGGAGCCGACAAGTTTTATCTTGCTGTTACACTTACAATCAACAGAAGGAAAAATTGCCCTGTTTGGTTAAGATGATCAGAACTTTGTCAGTCTACCTAATGAACAATAAGAGAACCACACCTGAGCAAGTGCCAGAAACACCACAGTGCTTAGGCAACATCACACACACATAAGTACTCTTGCCAGGTGGTCACTTCATGTTTTTTAAATTGCTCATTGGTTTTAGTTTAACAAAACCAAAACACCTATCCTACCTCACACACTTAATACAAATCACTTATTACAATTATTTCTTTTCTATGGAACATATTTATCTTCATTTCTAATTAGTTTTCAATATCTGAAAAATAATACAGGGCAGATGGAGACAGACAGGAGTTTCCTGTCAGTTTCTGCCCTGTACACAAAATTACATGAGAATACCCTTTAGGCACACTGGTATGTAATTCAATACTGGCAGACCTCTCCTCTGCTTCACTGATTCCTGGGTACATGTTTTACTACAACAAAAGTTTCCTGCATGCCAGTGATGTGGCACAACTCAGTCAGAACCAGAGGCCCAAGGCGTCGGTGTATGGGGGAGAGTGTATCATTCAGAAGCCTGCTCACAAGGGTACAGTTCAGTCTGTACATCATGTGTCATAGCTACTGAGAAGTCATACCAGAGCTCCCAACAGAAACAAACCAACCTTAATTCCTTATGACAGCCATTCTGAGCTGACCTCAAGGGCTTCTCATATTAATCTCAAAAGGGAGTTAATATAATTCCTGTAATTTACAGCTTGCAAAACAAAAGCCTAGGAATGCAATGGCATGGTCTAAATCACACTAACGAAACTGTGGAAGAGCATGTGAGTGAACCCACATTTCAGGACCCCCTTCTAATTCTTTAGACATTACCTTGCACTACTTCACAGGAAGATGGCATCATCAAAAAAAAAAATACATGTATTAGATAACACAGTGTTTACTATGCAACCAAGAAGTAATGACAGGGAGAAAAGAACGAACATCAAGTTCTCTTTAACATTCTTGGGTTTTTTATTAATTAGTGCTTAAATATAATATTCCTAAAAATGAAGGCCCCAGCCAGCTGGGTGCAAATGTTTCACAATACCAATTAAGCAAATTGTTTAGCATAACCCTGCAACAGCCCTTCTAGAGTATGTTAGGCTGAAGCTTGCCATTATAAACAGCAATGCTAAACTGGAATTAAGAAGCACATTCAAAAAGGCTAAACCCACCATCAACAGTGACATGAAATGCAAATGTAGAGAAGTCCTCAAAGCGTGAGCAGAATTCGCTACCATCCTTTGTACAGAAGACACTGGTATAAGACAATGCTCTGTATCCACAAGGTGCTTTTCAATTTCTGTCTTAAAACAGTTGAGACTATTAGTTGAACTGTATTTACCAATCAAGTCAGGAGACAGGAAACTATTTCTTTTCCATCTGACTTGCTCAGAGACTTATTCTCACTTCCATTCAGTCTCTACTAAGTGAGCTCTGGAAAAATATATATGGAACATGTGTTACTGTAGGGAGAGGTATTCTACTGACACATTTTTCTGATTAACAGACCCACCAACAATTAAAGGGTGCTGACTTACATGCAGCATATGCCCCAGGTGTGTGAACAACCTTTGCTTTCTACCACACTTGACACAATCAATCCAAATTTCCAGCACTATCAAATAAACAAAGGTTCGGTTTCCCATCAGCCTCCTGCAAATTAGCTTCACCAGAACCACAGTATTATTTTTGCTCAAGTACCAACATTCACAGGAAAATTATGACCATTATTAAGAAAGAGACCAATTTAGGAAAGGGTGGTATTAAGCTGAAGCACAGACGTAAGCACTCTATAGCAACGAAATAGCGGCAATAGTAACAGATGACTGAATTCCAACCCTATTATCTCATCTCTGGATTACAGTAATTTCTGTTTCACCCTGCTGCAACACAAACCTGTTCCAACCCAATTTGTTTCCCCTTTTGTTCTGTGTTATTCTTAGAAGGCAGCATGTTCCTGTGCTGTGGCGGTATTTAGATGAATTTATCACTATGCAAATCCTACAGGAAGAATTTGACACGCTGTATCAAATACCTCTGCCAGCACTCACCATGACGTCCTGCATCAACGAATGTTCTCATCTGTCCACATTAGTCAGTGTGCCACAAGAAGCATACCCTAGTCCAAAGCAATGACCCAATAACTCACCCATTTACCATACATGCTGTATGAGATTTAGCCCAAGCTGCCAACAAAAAACTCAGGCATAAAAGACAGTGGAGGTGATATTAACACAGATGAACTTGGCAGTATGGGAGAGAAGAGCTGGGTCAGGAAACACAGAACAGTAAGATTTGTTTGCCCCAGATCTTAAGAGAAGGTTTCTTACTGTTTCCTCAGAGGCTACCTTTTAAAATTATGAAGGTGTTCCTTTATCATTTTCATCATCATTCACATAGTATACTGGCAGGAATTCTTTGCGAAAACAGTTCTCTGTACCACTATGCCCTGCATATTTCTGACCTTCAGTGTAAACTTGAGGAAAGAAAAATAGAACAGGACTCTCAGTTCTAGAGGACAATCACTCACAGTAACCTTGCTATTACAGAAATTAGCATTCCAGAAATTGGGAAGGCCAGACAGAACGGGGCCAAATTAATTTAGTGGCTTCTGTTGTAGAGAGATGCATGTAAAGGACTCCGCAAATACCTGTTTCTTTTTGTGAACAGCACTCATTCTCTTGGAATGAAATCAGGACAACATTTGGTTCTTACCAGTTCTTACTAACCTTACCAATACAATGCAAAACCTACCCAAAGATGCAAGTCCATTTAGACTGAAAAAAACTATTCTTGCTGGGCCATCAGTAGTAGGGCAGCAGTGTGCCAGAGAGTTCTTTTCATCAAACCCTATCAACTGCATAGGAAATACTGACTTTGCTGCGCCAAGATCATCCTCCTGCTTGAAATGCATAAAGACTATTAAAGAACCACTTACCTGGAACCTTTGAACCAGCTCCAGTGACTGGCTGTCATTCTGGTCTGCTTCAAGGATGACATCTGTCAGTTTGTGTATGATCACATCCAAAGGGCCCTGTTCTTCAATGGGTTTCGTGAGGTCAAGCTGAAGAAACCAGAGAGAAACCTTTCATTAATACATGGAGAATCTGAGGTTCTTATTCCAACCACCATCCAAGGTGTTGCTGCCGCACAAGAAGGCATTTACTTTACACACTGCCTTTATTTTAGAATGTTATCCAAATTCATGAGAATTTATATTTCACTGAATGTCAGAAAACTTTACTCAGACATTTATTTTTCAGCAGTGTAGGTCTAATTCCATGAAAAAACAGTTAAGTCATTGGCAAGCATGCTTCATCCAGCTTCCTGTGCTTCACCACCCTGAGCTGCCATTTCCCTCTTCAGCTCTTTCTCAGTACTTAAACACACATGCAAAAGGAATGTGCCAACAAAGATGATCACCACTAATAAAAAGAACACCTGCTGTGCCCTTTGCCCTTTGGGATTGCACAAAACAGCACTCAGGTAACAAAAACAAATGACTCAGGATCTCTGCAAATTCATCTGCTGCAGTAACAGATATCTAGCTGGTAAGGAGGAGCGCACTCCCACCAGCAGACCTTGGCAGTTAGCTGGTCAGGGGACAAAGACTGGGGTGAGGTGTGCAGAAACTGCTCCCAACAGCATGGGAAGGCAAGGAAGTGATAGCAGTGGGCTGAGTCCCCAGTAACTTAGACAGGGTTCTACGAGCAGAGGAACTACCTGTACTGAAAACAGACTGAGTTAGGGATCTCTTGAGAAAATTTTGATGCAAAGAAGGCTACTGGACCCGATGGGATTCATGCAAGGGTACTAAGAGAACTGGTCAATGTCATTGTGAGGGCTTAGATTTATCAGGATATAAGTCAAACCTGTGAAGACTGCAACTAAATAAGGGGAAAAAAAATCCACCACAAGAACTGTCTGGTTGCAGCACAGAGTTGCACAGAAGCTGTAGGATCTCCATCCTTTAAGGTTTTCAAGGCCTGACTGGACAAAGCCCTAAGCAACTTAGTCTGAATTTAATGCTGAATCTGCTCTGATCAAGATGATGCATTACAAACCCCTAAGATCCCTACTAAAATTAGATGATCTTAACTGGATGATCTTTAACTAGATGATCTTAAGGTCCTTTCCAACCCTAACTGTTTTATGATTCTATGAGTCTTTCCCACTGAGTAAGTCATTTCCACTGCTGGGACAGGCTCCTGTAAGAGGCAATAGCAGCAGACTGGTTTATTCTAATTGCTTCATTTAGTCTGTGTAAATATTATCAGAAAGTGACCTTTAACATCTACCAGGCACGGTACAAAACCCTTCCCTGCACAAAACCCCTGTTTCATAGACCCTTTAACAACTGTATGTAAATCACCCAGGGGGTGTTTCACTCTGAAAAGGCAAACTGGGCACTATATAACTCACAAGCAAACCTGCAGTTTAGCTGGAGAACCGGTCATGCTTCTTCTCTGTGATGGGTTTGCACCAAGAAAGGATTAAACAGGGGAAGTTTAGATTGGATATAAGGAAGAAGTTATTTACTGCAAGGCTGGTGAGGCACTGGAGTGGCTTGCCCAGGGAAGTTGTAAATGCTCCATCCCTGGCGGTGTTCAAGGCCAGGTTGAACAGAGCCTTGGGTGAGATGGTTTAGTGGGAGGCATCCCTGCCCATGGCAGGGGGGTTGGAACTGGATGATCTTAAGGTCCTTTCCAAACCTAACTATTCTATGATTCCATAATTAATGATCCCATGAGCTACTTACCAGTTTTGAACATTTGTACAGTGTAAGTACCAAACTGGCTCATGTAGCTAACACACTGGGCTGACAACATCACAAAAGCCCCCACATTACCAAGCACGGCTCTTCAACCCGTTGTGGGATCTACTGCATAAGTGGCAACTTAACCTTGTAAACTTCAAGCCAGGAAAAGAAAAGAAATATAGGTGTATGCTCACTAAACTAAAGATAGCATCTGATTTTACAGTTACATGCATGCTCCTTTCCATTGCTGCTGTTTTACTCAACTCTGGCAGAGAAAGGGGTGGAGGGCACAGGAAGGAGAGGAGGGCTAGGCAGAAGAGGCTGCTGATGCTCTGTTTCCATAGAAGCCTGGTCTTCATTGTTCCGTTAGCTTGAGTTTTGTTCTAATAAAATTTCCCATCCTGCAGAAATAGCCCTGCTTTGAATTAAGGAGTGCCTTAAGGAAGGTAATGATAAGACAGGATGGATGGAACTCAAGCACCAATAAAACTAAAACAGCAGGGATCTAGCAGCCTTGTAATAATTTGGTAGTTGCTAATATAACTGATCCATGTAGCTGAACTGCTCTTCTTTGTAGGCACTCCTACCTGGGCTAGGCTTACTTGAGCAGAATAACTGAAGCTTCCTATTGCACAAAAGCAAATTGAAAGACCACCAGTTCTTCCCAACAGAGACCACCTCTGCTTGCCCATTACTAGATGCTCCTACTAACAGTTACAGATTGAGGCTTTAGCACTATCTTTGAAGTACTTACGTAGACTATAATACAACTGGAAAACATATTGTGCACGTCTTCTGAGGAGACTAAGAGATGCACTGTTCGTAGGTATGCAGCAGACTCTCTACATGCAAAGATTGTGCAATGATAAAGACAAAGAAGACAGACATCATGTGGATGCATGGTGATTGGTCAGCTGTGCCTGGGGGAGACAGTCCACAGAAGGTCTGGCTGTCCTGGCACTTGGATTTTTACTTCCATTACTAGTGCAGCACAAAAGCTAAAGGCAAGCGTAAGTGTCTGCAAAATTAAGGCAAAGTGAAGTGAACTGCAGTTTGGCTAAGGATATGGAAGGAGATGATCTACAACCAAGTTCCAGAAAAATCAGTTAATATCCTTAAAAGAAATCTCAGATGACCACACTGCTTTTCCTGAGTTTTCTTCGTCTGCCTATCACATCTGGAAGGAAACAACAAAACAAAGGGTCAATTTAACTAGGTCAGAAAGTTCCCAGTTGCCAAGGTACAAAAATGTGAATTATTCAATTTTCAGGACTTCCAGTTTGAAAAACAGCAAGAAGCAAATAAGCATTTGAGATTGGCTACCCTTTCACATTCTTTCTGCACTTGCAGCTCCATCTGCACAGAAACATTCAGAAAACAAGAAAACAGTCCTCCTTTTCAGCCTTGACCCAAGAATAGAAATAAGCCTTCAAGGCATATTGAGGCATTTTCACCACAATGTTTTCCAGAAGCATAAAACATCTGGGCAAGGTAACTTCACAACAGTTGTGCCAGCTAAAAGCAACAGGCATATTTTGAGAATGAAACTAAATGCACCTCCTTTGCTCCCCTGTAACAGTGCTCTGCTTCCCCTTCACCAGGAAAGCAGTACTAGAAATGACAGCACACTAGGGTAGCTACTCCAGCAGGAAGTTCAACGACCACTTCAAAAAGGACAGTGAGTACATTCTACCACCCAGACCTTCAAAGTCTAATCCAGTATTCTGTGGATTGGAGGATCAAACCATTTTCAAGAGTAAATTCTCTGTGTTCTGGGCCACACTGTGGAAAGCAAATATTCCTGAGCTGTGTGGAGTTTGGAAGAGATCCATCTCCTTTTTAAATACTAAGGAAAAAAAAAAAAAAAACAAAACAAAACCAACCAAACTAAAAGGAGAAGAAAAGGAAGAAAGAAAAAGATTTGCAGGGGAAAAAGAAGCCTTTCAAGTGAAGTATCAGACCCAAGCAGAAGTCAGTGAAAGCAGAGTGCAAAATTTCTGATAGCCCTCTGCTGAGACAAACACTGATTCATTGTTTGTCATCAGCTGGAATTTGAGCCCTCCTACTTCCCTTCTCTTTCAGCATCTCTCTCCAAATGATCTTTGCAGTTGACATGATCACCCAAAGGTTTGTTTTTGCACAGAACTAACACCATAGCAACAGAAGTGAGAGAAAAGACTTATCAGTACCAGCTTGAAAGAAGAGAGATATGGCTATGGTACCTTCTCTTCTGTGAGGTAGGCTATAGCCTATTCTGCTTGCCCTCTTCCTCCCACCCAACCCCCCTTTTTTTATTTTTTTAGTAAAACAGTCCAATCAGGCATTGGTTTCATGGCACTGTCACTTACCACCAAACTCCAGCAAAACTCAGGTAAATGACATGGAAGACAGTAACAAAGCTGTACACAGAAAATGTCAGATACATGGCAAACACATGGCTTGGCCAGGTGTGCTCTTTGCTGGGTAAAAAAATGGCTGGATGGCCAGACTTGAAGAGTTGCAGTGAATGGAGTTAAATCTAGTTTGCTGCTGGTCACAAGTGATGTCCCCCTTGTACTTGGCACTGGTGAGGCTGCACCTCAAATACACTGTTCAGTTTTCAGCCCCTTGCTACAAGAGAGACATGGAAGTGCTGAGGCATATCTAAAGAAGGGCAACAAAGCTGGTGAAGAGTCTGGAGCACAAGCCTTATGAGGAGCAGCTGAGAGAACTGGGGTTGTTCAGCCTGGAGAAGAAAAGGCTCAGGGGGCACCTCTACAACTACCTGAGAGGAGGCTGTAGCAAGGTGGGTGTCCATCCCATTACTCCCAAGTAACAAGTGATAGGGCAAGAGGTTACAGCCTCAAACTGTGCGAGGTGAAATTTAGATTGGGTATTGGGAAAAATTTCTTCACTGCAAGGGTTATCAAGCGCTGGAGCAGGCTGCTCAGGCAACTGGCTGAGTCACCATCCCTGGAGGTATTTAGAAGATGTGTAGATGTGGTGCTTAAAGACACTGTTAATTTACATTTGGATTTGATGACCTTAAAAGTCTTTCCCAATCTAAATGATTCTATGAGTCTATATGCCTTTCCAGATCTTACAAACCCATATATGGAAGAAAACAACCACTAGATAAATGTTTTTATCATAGCCACTGTAGATAGCCTGATCACCTAATAGAAAGACTGTCTGGGACTTAAAAAACACTCCAGGCTTAGAAACATCACAGTACCCGCTATTAGGCTTCTCAGAGCATTCACTGGAGAGCAAGTTACAGGCATACAGAGCTCCACCTCTGCTGTCCTCTCCCCTTCTCCTCCCTC